TTAAATAAATTGATCAATATATGTACACAATTTTACTTTAAAAGTATAATAAGCCAGTACACATTACATAGTTTGACTGTTGATTGATAGTAAAATTCAGTACACATTACATAGTTTGACTATTGATTGATAGTAAAATTCAGTACACATTACATAGTTTGACTATTGATTGATAGTAAAATTCAGTACACATTACATAGTTTGACTATTGATTGATAGTAAAATTAACTTTAATTTGCTCCTATGACTCTGATTAAAAACTTTGTAACATCAAAAGTAAAAGTTAAACAACTTACTTGTTAAAGGAAGACTCAATGTAGTTGCTGCTCCATAAAGATCTAGTCCCTTTAAATAAAATAAAAAAAAGTTAAATTAAATAAATGAAATTAAAATATTTTTTAAAAAAAACATCCCAGAATTAAATTTTCCATTAATTGTTCTCAAAATAACTGGATTTTACTTAACTTTTTTAAAATTAACTAAATATAGGGAGTTTAGTCACGTGATTTTTCATTGCTGAAAAAAATACTTAATGTGTTATTGAAAAACTTTGCTAAAAAATTGCAAGAAATTACTATTATAATTATATATATATACATATATATATATACATATATATATATACATATATATATATATATATATATATATATATATATATATATATATATATATATATATATATATATATATATATATATATATATATATATATATATATATATATATATATATATATATATATAACTTCTAGCAATTTTTGCAATAATCATTTTAAATAAATGTTCAACTTTCTACAATGTAGAACATTTATTTAAAATGTTTTTTAATTATTCCTAATAACAAATTAAATAGTTCTGAAGTTCCTAAAAAAATAACCCCTATCGGTGAAAAAAAAAATGCTCAAAAAAGAAAATAAAAATGTAAAAAGAAACTTGAATCGATGATGGATTTAAAATTGGATTATTTTAGGCATCTAAAGGATTTTGAAGATATTTCAAACAATATGTGAATACTCATTTCAAAAAACCCTCTAGTCAAAAGTGAACTAAACTAAGCAATTTAGTTTAGTTCACTTTTTAGAACAGTAAATTAAAAAAACAGCAACATTAATGAAAACAATATGAAATCTTTTAAGTTTAGAAGAAGAAGTTGCAGCATTATATACTTAGACAAATGTTTTGAAAGAAGAGAACCAAGAACTTGATAAGTTGGTTTCTTTGTTAGATGATTAATTATAACTTTTGAAGATGGCAGATTTTGTGACATTCAGGAAACCATCATGAAATTGCTTTCAATAAATATAAGTATGAATAGTGTCAACAATATCATTAAAGTGGTACTAAAAAAACTAGCAAAAATTTATTAAAAGCTATAAAGAAAGATATTACAAATCTTGTAACTACTGCTGAAGTTCATGCATAAGGAATAATTGATGAACTACTTACAGGTCCTTTGCGGCGAATTATCAAATCACTTGATAGCATTTTACTATTGAACCCCTACCTACTCTGTTTGAAAATCAGATTTTCAACTCTTTGTAAGGATGCTTCTTTATTGTTTGCAAATGGAAAAAATTTTGAGGATGCTAATTTTTTTCATCAAGATATGGTTTACTGCAAACTGTTTGAAAACATACAAAATGATAAGTTTGATTCTTTGACTGTGCAATCACTTTCAGTTATTTTTCATGCTATTCTTGTTATTTTGGAACGTCCGTGTGCTGATCAGTTACCTGGTGATAAATATTGGAATCCATCTGATTCAGTTGCTGAGACAGCTTCTAATGCCTGTGTTACTAAAAAAGACTTAGCTATTTTGGATTTAATAATATGTACAAAACCAACTGCAAATGTTTAAACTATCTAGGCTTTGACAATGTGGTCTCAGAGTCAAACATTAGAATAGCTTAATAGTAAACAGACGAAGAAAAAACAGAAAAGAATAACTTGATTATTCAAGAACTAAAATATCAATGATGAAATACAAGTATGATGAAAGAAAAGGAGCTCTTAAAAAAGTTAAAGCTGCCTTCTAGCAAAGCAAGAAGAAAAAAATATAGAAGAAATCAAACCACACCAAAAAAAAATTGTAGCTTGTAATAACTTGATAAATTTAAATGTAAAAGCATGGATTTCATTGCAAGAAGCAGAAAAATCAATTAATAATATGGAAGAATCATTAAAATCAAAAGTATTCCTTGCTCAACTTTTATCATCATCTTGCTCAACTTTTATCATCATCTTGCTCAACTTTTATCATCATCTTGCTCAACTTTTATCATCATCTTAGGTGTGGAACTAAAATTTTTTTTGTAAAATCAAAATAGAAGGAACCAAAAGAAGAAATTTCCCGGAAAAAATTATATTTATGAATTGTTCAAATAATTTTGATTTACAATTTAATATCAATAAAATTTTATTAAAAATTGTCAATGCAACATTTTACAAAACAAAAACAAAAAAGATTTTTGGTGCCAAAAATTTAACTAGATACTTCAATAAAATATTTCATAAAAAGCTTATGTATTGATAACACATCTTTTTATTTTTTTACTTAAAATCAAGACTTGAGGACCACAAGGACCACTACAGTCAAAGAGGCTACTTTTTATAAACTTTATTTTCAACTCTCTTAACTCTAAACTTGGAAACACAAATCTTGTTAAACATGGTGCTGCTGCAGAGAAACAGTTTGAATATGGTACTTCCAGAGGCATTAGGTAGATATGCACATTAAACCTCTTAATTGTAGATACAGTAGTGCCAGTGGTTTAGGGCACTGCATTACATTCCAGCAATTTAAGGTTTGCAATATATAGATTGAATTTCAGCATAGGAATTTTTCTTCATTTTTTTCTTCATCTTTCTTTATAATTGCTAAGTATTCTATCACTAGAAGTGCTGCATCCATTTTAAAAAGCATCAACAAAAAAAAAGTATTTTTTGAGCAAACAAAAAAGAAAATTATTCGTAATTAACTTGTAATTTTTTTTTAGGTATGTCATGGCTATTTTAGAATGGCTACTATGATCTTTGCTTCTTGTGTTAAATAGTAAGGTAAACTCAAGTATGAATATTCTTCATGTCTCAAATCCTGCATCAAGAATGAGCAAATATCAATTTATTTAAATTCTGAAAATATAACATTAAATACTCAATAGCAAAAACAATATTTTAATTTACTTGTGTTTTTTAATAATGTATATTAAGAAATACTTTTAGGAAATAATATAACTTTTTGTCACATTTTTAATGACTGTTACTTCAAATTTAACTGTAACTTAATATGTTTGTAATAGTTTCTTCTTTATTTTTTATGTACATACTATCTTAAACATTTTAAGTGAATGAATTTTAGTTTCACCGATTGTTGAAAACACACATTTTTTGACAATCAAAAGTAAGATTAAGCATGTACCTTTTTTGTGAATGTAAAATTTTTTAAGCATGTACCTTTCGGATCAAATAAAACTTTTCATATATTTATATATAGTAGGAAATCTTTGAATTTACAAGTTTAATTTAAAATGAACATTTGGTGTAAGGAATTTTTTTGCTAGAAGAAGCAGAAATCGAAATTCTTCTTAATCTGTATATATTTTTTATTGATATAGAAGCTTCCATTATATTCAGTACATTACAGTAATAATTAACATAATCATCTAGCTTCAATAATTCACTTTTTAGTAAATGTTTTTAAAAAAAATTTTTTTTTAATTTTTAGTTTATTCAATTTACTATATTAGATTATACTTTCATACATGTTTTTATATTAAACTATTATATTTTTTGTATTTTTACTATTTTATATGAATATATATTTATATATTTACTATAAATTTATATACTTACTATAAATTCATAATATAAATTATTATACTACAATATATACTATAAATAACGTTCTTTTTAACTTCACACTTCTCCTTAAACTTATTTTGCATCTAGTGTCACTGCTTTTGCCTTGGTCATTTTGTCATTGCTTTCATTACTTTTATCTTTTCCAACAAAAAAGTTAACACTCCAAAAAAAAAATCAATTGAAACTGGTAAAAAAAAAAACAGCAAAGAAAAAAAAATTTATTGTGGTAGAAGCAAATTCTCTTTCAATTTATTTAATAATTGTAATAACAACTCTAACATCTCTGCTGAACAGTGAATCTACTGCTTGATTTGTTGATTGAAAGAAATTTTAAAGACCGATTGCTTGATTTCATTATTGAAAAAAACTTCAAAAACCAATTGCTTGATTTCTTAATTAAAAAAAACTTCAAAAACACATTGCTTGATTTCTTATTGCAAATAAAAATAATCCAAAAAAAAAATTAACAATACTTATTAATAACCTTTCTGAAAACCTTTTTTGTGCGACTTATTATTAAGTTTCAAACTTTAATAGTTATTCCTCCTACTTGCTTTATCATATGCTTAAAAAAAATTTCGAAATTATTTTATCATAGTAATTTTAAATAGTTAATTTTAGTGGTTATCTGCATTTGGGGTAAACATTTTTTTTTTTACATATTTTGTTCAACTATTTAAAAAAAAAACACTTTCTATTATATTTCACTAACTAAAAAATATATAACTAATGAAACAAATAGTTTTTAAAGAATGTTATTTTAAACAATTACTTTATTACTTTACAATTAATAATAAAAATTATTATTACTTTACAATTATTAATCAAAATATTACTTTAAGATAAACAAAAATGGTATTACCTCAGGTGATTTGATTTTCCCTCTAACATGAAGCTGGTACTTCGTTTTTGGCTGCAACGGGGCATTTAAATAACCATTGTAATTAACACCATCACCAACTTCAAACTTAGACGGTACTTGAATTGCATCAATCTCAGCTGTAATATAAAACTTGTGTCCCAGACTCTTTGCAGTCTGATAGTCATGTAATTCTTGAGGAAGTTCCTGACTTCTACGTTTTCTTGATACTCTATTCAATAAACTACTCTCTAACTCTTCAATAATAATTTGATATGCACTACATTAAAAAATTTTAAATTACATTTCTTATATTATAATTATATTATACTATAAAAATAGTATATTTTATTTATAATATAAAAATATTATAATATTTTATTACAATATCTTTATATTAATAAAAAAAAACGCTTGAAAGTTATTGAATATACAAAAAAAAAGTAAAAAAAAAAAAACTGAAACAAACAACCTGATTGGTCCATTAACATCAGCAGATGGTGATAAATGAATAACTATTGAGCTTGAAGATACTTTTTCAGTAATTGGTATGGGAGGTGGAGGAGGCGCTATATAAAAAAATGTTTTGAAAACTTACATAAAAAAAGTTAAATAAATTTATGATCTAATAAAACTAATGTCACCTTTTACAGGAGTATTAAAATAACGAGGTAAACTTGCTTCACCATATCCTTTAATAGTTCTTGCTGAAACTTGCACTTTATATGTAGTACCTGGTTGTAACCCCTTTATTCTAACAACATAAATATTAAAATCAACCTCTTCTTCATAGTTGGAAATAAAAGAAGGATTATAGCTCTTTGTACCAATACAAACAACCTATAATTAGTAATAAACAATAAATAACAATCAGAACCAGAACTTTATAATTTTTTTTTTTTTTTTACTCTACATTTGATTTTTTTTTAACTACTATTATAAATTATAACAAAAAATAAATGTTAAATTATTATTATAAATTAGTTATTCGGTATTTAAGTGATTATATAACCTATAATAAAGTCAAAACAATGAAGTAATAAAGTAAAAAAGTATTAAAGTATTAAATTCCAATAAAAAGCAGAAGAACATTATAACCTATATCTGATATATGTAAAACCAAGAAACTCAGACCTCAACATCTGCCAACACACCAGATCTGCAGTTTTCCTGACAGATCTCACTTGATTGTATGCTCACTTGATTGATCATTAAAAGATCCAGCCCAAAGACAACAACAGAATGAATGTTCTTCAAACATGTAAATGGCAATACAAAATCCTTCCATAAAGTCTGAATTATATAAAAGATAAACCATAGCTTTAAATTAGGAACATTTTTTTTTATTAAAACACACATGTATATGTAGCAGCCATTTTTTAGAATTACTGCATCCCAGAATTTAAAAAATGCAAGTGCTGATTATAACAACTCCAAATAACTTTGAACAATGCAAGCTCTACCCTACCAGTGAACCCACTACCATTTTCTGATCCTTTATCCAAAAAACCTAAATTTAGTGTTTAGCCTGACATAAATAAAAGTATTTAACTTTTTTGTTTTGCTTTAGTCACAGTATATAATTTTGCACTATAAATGAAGATTTAGATTTTAGCCAGCTTGTTAGAAAGATATATGAGTATTACTTAATAATTTGAATATTCAGGTATGTCCAGGATTATACTTCTGTATATATTTCTGTCAATATAGTTTAAAATTAATTTCTCAAAAATGATGCTGAGCATTTATTGAAAGCAAAACACATTAAAACAATTAATAAACTATTATTTAAAGTTAATATAATTAATATATTAAAATATTATATTACTATATTGTTGTTTTATTCAACCAATTAATTATATTATAAAATATTTTATCATATACTGCAATTAAATAACTTTGCAATTAACTCCAAAATTGCAAATAACTCCAGGTAAGAGAGCAACTAACTATAAAGAGTTTTGTAGTTAAAACTTAATGAGTTCAATACTTTTAATTAATTTTTATTTTTTTGTTATGTAACTTAAATTTTGGGAAATAAGTTTCATGACTGTTTATTACAAACAGACTTTGTTAAAACTATTAAATAAGTATGTGTTTATTATTTTTGTTTTGGTTAGTTTCATTATTTTAATTCTAAAATGAATTGCAACTCTAACAACTCTTTCGTCATCATCTGAATTATCTGTCTAGATGTAAGTATTTAAAAACCTGTGTGCAAAATATATCATAATATATTTACAATTTCTTATCAAAAAATATATCATAAATAAATTTTTACAATTTCTTATTAAAAAATAAATCATAAATAAATAAAAATATATCATAAATAAAAAAATATATATCATAAATAAATAAAAATATATCATAAATAAATAAAAATATATCATAAATAAATAAAAATATATCATAAATAAATAAAAATATATCATAAATAAATAAAAATATATCATAAATAAATAAAAATATATCATAAATAAATGTTAACGATTTCTTATCATAATCTAAGAATTTTGCATTTTTTAATCTATTTGAAAAATTATTTTCTTACTTTGAATTTTGTTATCACTCCATTGGCCTTAGATGGAGAATCCCACGTAACAGACATTAAATCCTCCTTTAAAAGAATTGCTTTAAAATTTGTTGGTGCAGTTGGCAAACCCTCAGGACTTCTAAATGTTTTGTTCACAGCAGGACCAACAAGTGCAGTCATTGCTTTTACTCTAACAATCAAGTCAATATAACAGGGTAAGCCATGATACTTCTTTGTGTTAGTAGTGTTGTCTGGGATATCTGTAGAGATTATTTTGTTTGTTAGTGGATCAATTAATTCAACCATGTAACCTCGTAGTATACCTTTAACATAAATTGGAGGCTCCCAGCTAACATATACATCATCTAGTGTTTCTTGAACTTGAAGATTTAAAACATGTGAAGGTGCATCTTCCATAGTTGTAATAAACATCTCATCTGAAGCAGGACTACAAGTATCACGAATGCAAGACTTAAGAGTAATAACAAATGATGTAAATGGAGGCACAGCAATTAGTCGTGAAAAACTCCTTTGATCATAAGCATCACTATCAGTATAATGGAAAGTAGTGTTTTCTTGAAGACTTTTCCTGTCTCTTAAGGTTATAATAAACAAAGAAATTGGAACTCTGGAATTTGAGCGAGACTCCCAGTTTATCTTGATTTTCCCAGGTTTTTTCTCTACTTCTGTAATTATAGGTGATAATGGAGCTTTTACTAAAATAAAATAAAAAATAAAATAAAAAAATAAACAGATTTTTTTTACAAGAATATTTTAAATTTTAAATATTTCTATTGTAACATACTTGGTAATGTTGAAAGAGAAAGAACTTCAGAAAAAGGACCAAACTGCTTATTGGAGATAGCTGTAACTTTAAATTTGTATGATGATGCTGGTGCAAGATTTCGTACTGTATATTGTGTATTCATTATAAACTCACTTGCAGAATAAAAAGATTCATTATCCAATGCAGCCCATACTTGATACCCATTAAATACTTTTGGAATAAAAACAGGTTCAATACTCTCCCATACTAAGCCTATTCTTGATTCTTCAACTGACGTTGCATACAAGTTCTTAGGTGCAGAACCAGGTGCTAAAAAAAACACTTTTATATATTATTTTAAAGAACAATCCATTTGCTGTAAGTTTTTATTTTTAATACCAAATTTTGACAAATTACAATTTTTAGTATTAATTATTCTGCTAATTGTTCAATTCAACTTGTTAAATAAATGAAACGAGTAAATTTTTAAATTTTCAGCTTGTAAAATTATATAGAATAGCAAAAAAATATGTTCAAATTTATCTTTAAAAGGTACTACATTTAATATAATACAAATAAACTATTAAAGAATTTCAAGAAAGCATTTAACATGAACTGTTTAGTAGGTAAAAGGTATTTACTAAAATTTACCTTCTCCAATAACTAAGACCTTTTTTATATCAGAAGTTGCTTTTCTTCCAAAGCTGTCAAGTTCAACTTGAACTTCGTATTCTACCCATGGCTCAAGTTGAGCAATGGTGTTGTTTTTACCACTTAAAATAACTTTGGAAGACCAAACACCTGAGCCAAGAATTTTATAACTAACAGTTAAACTAGACATAAAAACATCTTCAGCCTAAACAAATGTTTAAATGTTTAAATAGTAACATTTAATTTATTTCATGATTAACTTTTTAAAGAAACCATTTAACAATAATCTTCTATAAAATATTTAAAAAAAACAATTTGACTCACAAAAAACCACTCCACAAAAATGGTGTTTGCATAATTTGAGGCCACATTGATTTTTGGAGGGTTTAATTGTCCTATTAAAAAAAAAAGTATAAAATAAAAATAATAAATAATAATATAAGAACAATGAAACAAAACTATTATTAATTTGCTTTATTGTAAGATTAAAATATTTGAATAATCAAAACTGTAACAAATGTGTACTCCACCACTCAACCAGATCAGTATCGGTGTTTAACCAACCACTATCAATAATTTTTTGCGGTTAAAAAAATATTTTTGTGTATAAAAAAAAAACTGAAGTTTAAAAATGTCTAATAAAGTAAAGGTCACATGATATAGAGGACAAATGAGATAAATGAAAAAAAAAAGAAAAGAATTCACATGAGGTAGAAAATAAAAGTGGAAAATCAGGTAGAGATCAGAGAAGATAAAGATCCAATAAGATAAAAGCTACATAGAGGTAGAGGTCACATGATGTAAAGGTTAGATAAGGTAAAGATTTATTAGTTTTTGGAACAAAGTATTTTAAAAAATAAAACAAAAAAAACTTACATAATTTTCTCATAAAATCTCTTTATAGCAATACTGAACTTAATAGTAGTAGTAGTAGTAGTAGTAGTAGTAGTAGTAGTAGTAGTAGTAGTAGTAGTAGTAGTAGTAGTAGTAGTAGTAGTAGTAGTAGTAGTAATAGTGCCCACTCTTGCGTGTTTGACACAGGACTCTATGCAGCCATTAAAACTGAGGCAATGGCAAGAAAGAGTCTCTCAGCATGTTTTTATAAGGAAGTATATGAAATTTATCAACAGTTATGTAAATATATATTGTCAGAGATAGCTCAAATTTGCATAACTAGCATTCGATAATACTGGGTATATATTTTTTAATTTAACAGATTTTGGGCTCATTTTAGCATAGAGAGTTTTATTTATGTAATTGCAAAAATTCCATTTGGATAGCGTTACATACAAACGTCTGTAAGTGTAAACGCCTTTAGCATAAGTCGAATTTGTGGACAGTGTATGGAACAACCATGCACAATCTCTTTATGAGAAAACTTTAAAATTTTATATTAATAATTAGAAGTTTTTGTTGCTATATATACACCAAGATTGAAAAAATTGAAAAATGTATTATGCTTTGAACCCTCGAAAATAATCACTGTGCTATTGAAGATATACATTTAAGAAAAAATAAATCATTTTATAAATTTCTTATAAATGAAAATCTATATACCTTAAATGCTCTAACCAGACTTATTAAAGAACATCAAAAAAGTCAAGGGAGTACCATTTATTAAAGCAATTTCCATTAACAATCAACATTTTATGCCTTAAACAAATATTAAATTTTAGACCCACAAAATATTTTGCTTCTCATAACACAAAATCCTTTAAAAAATAGTTTTGGTTAGGACTACCACATTAGCATTGGATGCACAAAACGTTAACAATTATTCTCTAACCTATGTGCTTAATGGCAAGAAAATATTTTTACATTTAATTATTTATACAATTTATTTTGTATAAACAAAGCAAACTTTTTTTCAAATAAAATTATTAAAAATAGCATGTAAAAAATAACGGCTACCATGATTAGTTTGAACTTCTAAAATATTTGAATATGGTCCTAGTAAATTGTTAGAAACAGCTGCAACTGCAAAACGATATATTGTACCAGGTTTTAAATTTTGCATGATACGCTGTGTTTCCATAGATGGATATACATGCGCTTTGATTAAAGTTTCATTTCCTTCAGCGTAAAACATTTGGTAACCTTGAAATATTACTGGTAGATACTCCATTGAAACAGATTCCCAATGCAAACTGATTTTTGTTTCTAATTTAATATCAGCCACCAGATTTGATGGTGCTAGCCCAGGAGCTAAAAATATTATTTATAATATCAATATATAATAAATTGTTGCTATTTTATTTATGCAGACAAAGAATATGTTAATATATTGAAAACAAAAATCTTGCAACCTTTTCCCTTTACTAAGACCTCTTCAATTGTTGAGTCAAGTTTATGACGAATATTGTACAAGGATATATACACCTGATATGTCTTCCATGGTTCTAACATTTTTGCTGTCGGCGAAATACGTATGGAGGTTGCTGTGCTTGGAAGTCCAATATGTTCCCATTCAAGTGGAGGAACACTTTTGACACGAAAGTATACTGAATAACCATTTACTTTTTCAACAGGTGGATTCTAAAATAGTTAGCATTATTTACCAGATAAAACTAATTTTTATTAAAAAAATGTTATACGTTTGTTAATTTCGTTTAAATGTTTTATTTACAGCTTAAATTATCAATTACAATTGAAATATGGTAACCTAACAACATGATAGACCGAGTTGTGACCTAACAACATGATATGAAGTATGTAATGAAGTAGTAAAAATATCAATATTCTTGTAATAAAGATTGTTTCAGATTTATTTGGATTAATGTTCATAAAATTCATAACTATGTGGTATTAGACCAGTGGTAGAATGTTCAGTACATTCAAGAGGTTTGAGGTTCAAATATATCCTCACCCCTGACAGTTCTGTTCTCGATCTTTTTCTCTGTGCAGAGGCTTTGTTTAATAAGATTCGATACATTTCAATATGTTTCGATAGTATTTCTGCACTTTACTGTTACAATAAAAGCTCAAACTCAATCTTAAAGCCCTAAAATCAGCTTATTTAAAAATATAGATTAAAGTGTTTATCATTTTAGATTTACTTAATAAAATATATTATAAAAAATAAAAACATATAAAAACCTTTAATTTAATCATTTTAAATTTGCTTTCTTTATTTACTCCATTTAACAGACTATCAAAAATTTAACTTTTATTTGAAATTTATTAAATTGAAAAAAATGTTTTAATTTAATTTAGTTACTGACTAAAACAAAACCAACCTACAACCTACCAACAAAAACAACAATAATAAAACCAACCTGCCACTTAACAAGTATAGTTTGAGGTTCTTCAGAAACTAAAGTTGTTATAACAATTTGCTGATCAGGAACTAAAAAATATAACAAAAAAAGAAAATTATCAAAAGTTAAACAACATAAAATATTTTATTGTTTAATGTTTTATTTTCTTATACAAACCTTTTCCTTCAACACTTATAGTGTATGTGATATAATCACTTTCACCATAAGTTCCAATGGATTGAATGCGGATATCATACTTCTGCCATCCCTGCAATCCAGTGAGATTATAAAAACTTGCTGAACCAGAAACCTGTACAACAGCATATGAACTCCTGGTTGAATGAAGCCGATACTCAATTTTAAAATTAGTTATAAATTTTGCGCAATTGTAACCAATTCTACTTTTCTAGATAATAATATAAACATTTAAATTAGTATTAAAAAAAAAAAAACTTAAATCTATGTTTTCTAGATATCAATATAAATATATAATATTTTTCTAAATAAATATTTAAAAGAAAAAAATTCAATTTTTTTAAATCTAAAAAATTTTTTTTAATCTAAAAAATAAATAAATAACTAAACAAGAAAATGAACAAAAAAAAAAAAAACTAAAAATATTATTTCATCGTAAATATACAATATACCTGCCATCTTAAAAAAACTGTTTCTGGCTGAAGAATTTCATATTCAACCTTTTGAGGTGGTATAGGCTCTAAAAAACAAATAAAAATAATAAATAAAAAAACAAATAAAAATAATAACAACTTTCTTATATCATTGGATTACAATAGAACAAAGGTGAAATAAATTTATAAAAATTTAATCCATAAAATTGAGTATGTATGCTCTATATGTATGTATACAGACATATTCTGAAACAACAAACAATACTAAACATAGATGTGCTAAATTTTACTGTTTTAATCGCAAGCCTAATATTTTAGAAACATGCCTTCCACACATCTTAGAACTTCTCATTTGAGGTTTTTAATTCTTTGAGCAAAAAAACAAAAAGTAACAAATAAAAAATAGAAAAATTTAATTGCTTTTTAATTTTGACATTTTGTAAAATTAAAAACAATTCAGAGGTAACTAGGCCAATGAGCAGATTAAATTTGTTAGAATCCAGACTGCAGACTGAATATATATTTTTATTATAACTATGTTGGATGGTTTATTGCTATAAATTTCATTTATATCCTTAGAATTGCAGTTTGTTCAATTAAACTTATAGCATCAAATCTTTAGATATGCCAAGAAAAACTAATTCAACTAGTCCACTGTCCGTTAGTAAAATTAAAACAGTAAAATAAAATCAGTAAGAGCAGATTTTGCTGAATCACAATAAAATCTATAAATGGTATAAATGGTATAGAAGTTTAGTATGTTTTTGAAATACTATAAAAATATGAAAACATTTCAATAATTTGTTTTGGTCTTTTATAACATAACTGATATTTTAGATTTCACCCATAGAATTGATTTTATTTAAATTTTGCTGTATTTGAACTTTTCATTTCATATTTGTACATTTGTTCCCATTTCTTTTATATACTATCCCTTCATTCTATCCAGTCATGTTTATCAGTCAAACCAATAAAAATCTTATTAATAAATGTGCATTATTGACATTTTTTAACTCATACATTGGTTTTCAGTCAATATTTTGAAGGTCTTTAATCAAATTTATTTAAAGGTATGACATAATTTCACGAAGGTATGACATAATTTTAAGTAATATCTAAGAAAGATAGAATAAGAAGAGAAGATAGAAACCATTCTAGTAATAAACAAAGGAATGTTTGTTTTTTGTAAACACCCAACCATATCATAGTGGCTGATGGTGATGACAGCAGTATCGATCATTTTAGCAATGATTTTAATGTTTGTAATTTCTAGTTGTAATACCAGTTTGATATTTTGAGTTTGTTTACTGTTTAATTAAATATTGAGTAAAAATACTTGTTAACTCTTTGTTTTTATTATGTTGTAAACGACATAAAAATCTCCCAGAATGATAACTTCTCTATTAAATATAAATTTAAAAAACAGAGTGTAAAAAAAAACAAAAACTGTTTTGATCCTTATAGATACTCTTGTATGGTGTTGTCATTCTAAGTTGTTCTCTTTTTTTGCTGTTAGTTTTGTTGTACCATGTTGTCATAGTAAGTTGTTTTATGTTTTGTTGTTAGTTTTGTTGTACCATGTTGTCATTTTAAGTTGCTTTATGTTTTGTTGTACTCCCACGATCTTACCAGTAACTCAATATCTTTTGATAAATTCATTTTATACAAGTTTTTTTATATCATAAATTGTATACAAGTTAATTGTGTCATTATATGCACTTTCTGTAAGTTTCTAAAAAAGATAATAAATTTATGTTCTTATGTTTACAATACATCAATATTTATTTAAAAAAAAAGTATTTTAGGCATATCTGCATACTTTATCAAATTAAAACTTTAAAATATGATAATATGCTTTTTTATTCTCTTCTTTCATTTAATTTTTCGATGTGTTCTAATAAAATGTGAACAAAACATGTTAATCTTATTTTAGTATCACAATTAAGCATATCAACAGTGTTGTACATATATGTATACTTTAAATGACTCCACTTAGAGTAAAAGGGAATATATATATATATATATATATATATATATATATATATATATATATATATATATATATATATATATATATATATATATATATATATATATATATATATATATATCGTCTAAAATTCACATTTTTATTGTTTTGAGAAAAATAAAAATAAATAATCATCCAGCCTTTGAATATTAATATCTATATAATTGTAATCAAGGATTATAAACAACTTTTTATTCATACTAACATGCTTAGATTTGTACTTATTTCAGCAAAGAATACGAGTGTTTAAAAACTCAATTTTAAAAAAGAAAAACACTCTTCAATTTTCAAAAGTAGATGCTTTGTAAAGTAAGCTTAGAAAAAAGCGGGCAATAATTTAACATAGTTGAACCTTTGCAACTGATTGAAGGTGATAAACAAATATTTTTAATAATACACCGTAAAAAACTTCACAAGATAACTTCTGGTGTAACAAATTGAATAGCAAAACTTCAATTTTTTTTTTTTTTAATATAATAAAAAATATAATACACTGAGTTTTAGAGCTCTACACCCCTTATAAGATACAGAAAAAATTGCATAGCCACTACAAAGGAGGCACAAGGTAAAACCCATGAGTAAAATAATTTTTTTGATTTTTAATATTTGAGATTTAATCATGATAAATCTCAAAAATTCTAAATTGTTATAATTAGTTTAGATGCAGCAAAAAACATTAAAAAAAAATTTTACATGCTGAAAATTTCTTTTTTTTAATCAATAAACTATTTTTTAATGCAATAGTGATGTAGTGGTAGAGCGCTCACCTCATAAGCAAGAAGTTCAAAGTTCAATCCCCACCACGTCCCTGGTAGTACCGCACTTAATTTGTTTCTCTGCACTTAATTTGTTTCTTCGTGTTTCGAAGTTATAGAGTTGAGAAAGGGTTGTAAACACAAATAAAGTAGCCTCCTTGACTGTGGTGGCCTTGATTGCCTTGAGGAGGTAAATTAAAATTGAGAAAAAAAATTTTTTTTGACTCAAACCTACTAGAAGGCAAAGTGGATGTTGTAATTGAGTAAACTCGTGGTACACCACAACCAATTTTATTGTAAACACTTAAACGAATTTGATAATCTGTACAGCTAAAGAGACCAGATAAACTTTGTATATATATATTTTTATCAGTTCCTTTATAATTTTGTGGATTAACAAGATATTTTATTAAAGAAGAAGAATCCCCAATTGGATAGTATGCAATGTAAAAAAACTCTATATCAAGTGAATTTTGATTCCAAGATATCTCAGCACCATTTGTGGTGACACGTTCTACTTTGTAATCTTCAATTTGGTTATCTAAACAAATAACAAAAAATGAGAGCCAATTAACAACATATAAATATAAGCAAAAATAAATATATAAAGATCAAGAAATTTATCAAAAATCACAAAGTTTAAATTAAAATTTGAAAAAAATTTAAAAAATTTAATAAAAAAATTATTTTATTAACCAAAATAGTGTTTTTTAATAACAGAAAAAACTAAATTATTATTCGGGAAAAGTACATTTCATATTTTGTGCTATTACTTTTTCTAACACATAACCTATGTATTTCAACTACTTTTTTAGAATACCTAAAATATTGATACTAATATAATATTAACAAGTATACAGTAGTCCAATTTGTAGCAAAACGATAATTGCCTTTTTGTGATGATACGGAGTTAAAGATTGTGCAACAATAAAAACTATAAAAAATTAAAATTTGATGACTTTCTATTAAAACAAAACATAGCACTCTTTAACAGTTTGAAATGAGTTTGAAACAAAATACAATTATCAATTAAATAACATAAAAATTAAAATATATAAAAAGGTAAAGTAAAATGTAATAAATGAAAACTATATAGTAAAGTATAAAGAGATGCAAATAAAGAGATGCAAATGACAAAATTGAAATTGGTTTTTGAAATTGAAATTCTAAATATTAGCCTAATGATAACACTAGAAATATGGCTGGTTAATATATTGGTTATGAGTTCTACAAGCTTGAATGTTGGAAATAAATTTGTTTTAAAACTATGCTTGATATTCAGTTTAAATCCAGTTGGGTCATTATAAGTTAACCATCTAAAACTGGTCACATTATTATAATTTGGTTGAAAAAGTGAACTTGTTAACCAAGTGAAAAAATACTTTTTCTTTATGATTTTGGTCAAAACCTTTAAACACAAATTGTTGGTATAAAGACCATCACAGCTTAGTCAGAACAATTTATGTCAAACAACTAATTTTTACTTTCAAATAAATAAACTTTCTAAAACATTTAAACATAGCCTTAGTAAACTTAAAATTAAATTTGACAAATATTTTTGCAATAATAAACCTTTTTCTTCTGTAAAACCACAGCCAAAAACATCCACTTTTAAAGCTATCCCATTTGCAAACTCTAGTGGCACAAACTGAATATACTTTGCTACAACTGAGCATGGCAATTTTTGAACAACAACTCCAGATGTATCTACATTTGCTTCAAAAATCTAAATCAATTTAAGAAGATTTATAAGAATTCTAAAATATTTTAAGTATTTAAAAGTTAATTAAAAAAAAAACATCTTCAAAAAAAAACTCAGCAATGAGCAGCTGTAAAAATAAGTACCACCTGATAATGAAAAATCTTCACGATAATTAAAAATATTAAAACAATAATGGAAATTATTATGATGAATTTAGAAACTTATATAATGATAAATTAGGTTTTTGCAAATTGAAATATAACGCATATATTTATTTAAAACTAAAGACACATTTAAAAACATTCAAAAACATGTTTTTGAATGCAATTTTAAAACAAAACAAAATATTTTATAAACATATTTTAAAAAATTTAAATTATTTTTATTATCAATTTATGTTTAACTTAAAACATTAAAATTCTTAAATAAATAATTTTTCAAAGATTCCCCTGAACAAAAATTGGATTTTAATATTTCATAAAATGAAATTTTTATTGGTTGATTATAAAATTACTGCGCATATTTTTTTTTAAATCTTTATTAAATTATTATAGTTTATGTAATAATTTTTATAATACTTGAATCAACTTGTGTTTAAACAAATATAAAAGTTAAAATATATAAGTTTTGACTGTTGTTATTTTTGCAGCCATAAATTTATCAAGTTTTATTAAAACAGTATTCACTGCTTCTAATAAATAGAAAAAAAACAAAAATATTTCCAGATATTACAATTTGCAATCATTTAATTTGAGCCATGGATCATGAAAACCATTGTAATGACAATAATTTTTTTTATTTCTACAATTAGAAACCATTTGTGATAATTAACTTACTAGTTTATTTTTAACTAGTTAATTTTAAACCTGTTAATTGAATTTTGATAGTAAAATATATATAAAAGTGAAATAAAAATAAATTTTTTTTAGCCTTTATTGAATTAAATTATTTGACTTTCCATTTTTTAAATACTTCTTATTTCTTGATATTTGTCTGCAACTTTTGTCTGCAACTTTTGTCTGCAACTTTTGTCTGCAACTTTTGCTTTTTGTGTCTGCACTTTAGTGATTTAATGATGTAAAAATAAAATATATAAAAAGCAATAGATGCTCCAGTACACATATTGAAATTAGGGTTAGGATATGGGCAAAATAAACTGGAAAACAAACCACACACACTCACAAAAAAGCAAAACAAACCACTCACTCTCACACCAGTGGCAGACTAAGTACATGAGGGGTCTTAGGTCAATAACTCTGTGGGGCCCTTATAAAATAAATTGGTTTAACCCCTGCATGATAAAACAGTTGTTGTTATTTTTTTCACAAAGTTAAGAATATCGAGTTTGGTTGTCTTAAATATTTACGTTTTATATTTTTACACTTTAATAAATTTTATTTTTTTCGCTTTGCAGTGCAGCTTTTATTAAATCCGACCAGAACCAGACATTATTTAGCCACTAAAAATGTGCAATAAAAAGAAACACTAACCAAACCTAAATACTGAAAAATCTAATTTTATCTATGCTACACAAGCATTCATCAAATAAACAAAATTTATGTCAAACAAAACTCATTTTATGTATGTTAGGACTGTTTTACTTCAAATGACTTTTGTAATTACTTAAATAAAATACTGACAAGCTTCCTTTGCATGAATATTTCATAGAGAAAATGCTAACGCCAGTTTAATTTTAAACAAAATTAAAAATTAATTTTTGATTGGAATGGCTTCCATGAAAGTAATAACTTTGTTAGGTGATAATTAGATAATATGGCTCTTATTTTAAAAGATTGTAGAGAATTAATTTTATAAAAAAATAATGTGTTCTGAAATTATTTTTCTCCTTAGAAATTAAAATTTTGGGCCCCTTAAACTGTGGAGCCTAAGGCTATGATGGCCTTATATGCCTCGATAATTGACTACTGACTCCAAAACACAATACAATCAAATATTCTCATCTTCTATTATGTAACTTATTTAACTAATTACCTTCAGAACCTTTGTATGTAAGTAATCATCGAATATTTCTCCATCAGTACTAAACTTAAGAAAAAATGTTTTTACAAAGAAAATTCCTGAAGTGAAACCCTGCGTTGCAATACCAGTAATTGTGAACATTTTTTGAAAATTAATTTGGAGAAACTCATCATACAAATCTGTAATTGGTTGAAAATTTTTAGGTATCCACGCACTTGGAGCATTCCCTAAGCGACCATGTGATGCTTTGTAAAAAAAATCATTTTCTGAAGAAGCTGTAAATGCTGAGCTTGGAAGCGTTCCGTTTTCTGATGCTCCAAGAGATGTAAAACATAATTCTAAACAGATTTTTAAAAATGTTATAATAATGCATAATATTTTCATCAGTAAGGTTGAAATATATATAAACAAAAAAATATATAATATTACGCATAATAATAAATCTGTAGATCATTGATTTTTCAAACAGCATTTATAAATACTACTAGCATATATAAAACTGTATTACACATACACTAAAAATACAGTAAAATTAGGTTTATCTTGTTAGATTATGGTAGGGTGTTTGCACCTGTAAAGCTTTGATAGGAAAAATTTTTTTCATTTTTATAAAAATTGCGAGAATATACTAATTCAGTTTTAAATATTAATTCTTTGCTTAAAATTTTTTATTACATTGCAGTCAAATCAATTTACATAGTCTCACAAGCACAAAACAAAGTTAATCCACCAAATGTTATGTTTTTAGTTTTTAAGGCAGAGAGTTGTTACTTGCTAAAATGTAGCTTAACAAAACACGTCACACTTTGTTAAATTCTTTTTGTTATATTTATCAATAACCTTCCTAAAGCGTGTCACACTTTTTTAAATTCTTTGGGGATAACTGAAAACTAATAGGAATCACCTAAAGTTTAAACAATCGAACAAAGCTGTCAAAAAATATCTAAAAATATCTACCGTTAGTAATCAAAAAGTTATCAACAACAAATTAAGTTCCTCTTCTTCACTACATAATTCTTGAATCACTTAATCCTTCATTCACTTTCTTGACTCACTTAATCCTTCATTCACTTTCTTGACTCACTTAATCCTTCATTCACTTTCTTGACTCACTTAATCCTTCATTCACTTTCTTGACTCGCTTAGTCCTTCATTCACTTTCTTGACTCACTTAATCCTTCATTCACTTTCTAACAACTTTTAATGTCTGAACAACACATGTTGTTATCAGATCACAAAAATCTGAATAAAAAAGACCAATCAAAATCTTCCATGAGTTTCCAAAACTTTGTACTTGGCTTTTTGAGGCATTCAGGCGACAAAATTGTTTTAATAATTTGTTTATTTGCATAAAAATCTCGCTTTAGAACCTATATCACAAATCTGATATCAAACTGCTTGAGCTGGTTCCTGAACTAAAAAATTTGATGTATTGACATAGACTCAAAAAAACTGTTTTAACAACATTAAAAGATACACACAATTACCTTTGCAAAATTTATGTCAGCACTGTCCTAATATATTTTGTACACTTTAAATTATAAAATATAAACTTAAATCCAAACAGATTATAAGGGAAAAAAAAACCAACAAAGAATAAAAAAGTTTTTTTTTGTATTTTTTAAATAGTACCTCCCCAAACTTTTTCTATGTACTAGGGGTGGATCAGAAGTACAGTTTTTAATTTTTTGGGTATTTTTTCTCAAGTCAAATATATATATATATATATATATATATATATATATATATATATATATATATATATATATATATATATATATATATATATATAATTTAATTTTTTTAATTTTATTTGAATTTCATGCTAAATTTTTTTATACAATTAACTTAATATAAGTGCAGCCATGGCGCAGTGGTTAAAGTTTGGCTCAGAACCAAGAGGTCTGAGCCAAACTTTAAAACAATTGTTTTTTTATTTTTTTTCATTTATTCTTTTTATTCAAAAACTCTTTATTTACATTTTTCCTGCTGTTTATCTTAGGAAAGTTTAAAAAATCTTTCCATAATAATAAAAATATACTTTAAAATGTTATTAACGTTTTTTTATTAAGGAAATTAAAAACACAACACAAAATTATAAATTATCAATTTATTCAAAAACCTAATTCAAGCTTCAAGAAAAAAAGACACAGAAAAAAAAAAGATATTTTATTAAATATACACCAAATAAATACTTTATTTGCAAAGTCCTATAAAGATTTGAAACAAAAAGATGAAAATATTATTAATAAATTAAGAATTCAAAAAGTAAAAAAATAATGATTACAAAAAAATCAATAAACTTTTTACTATTGCAACTATCTTTTTTACTACGTATATTATTTTTTAGCTTCAAATAAACAAAGTTCTATTAAAAAAAAGTATTCATCACATTGTAAATTATTGAAAAGCTTATTAAAGCCGAAAAAATCAATTACGAATCCAATTTGATCAAAAAAGCTAAACTAAATCAAAAATTAATATATGCATATGCAAATAGTAAAAAAACAAATCATCAAAAAATATGATCCCTCATAACAAAAGATGGCGTTACTTTAATTGATAGACAAGAAATCTGCAATCAATTCAACATTCACTTTTATAATGTATTCAATTCGGTCTAAAATAATAAAAAATATCCTGAATTTAAATCAAGAAGAAAATTAATCTGTCCATTCAACACTGATTTTTTCAAAAGCTCAATTATTAAAATAGAACTTAAACTGCAAAATAAATACAAACAAGCTGGTTCTGATGGGATCTACCTATATTTATTAAAAAGCTGCTCAGATAGCTATTCAAAAATATTATCCAAAATTTTTAAAAGTTCATACAAAGTAGGCTATATTCCAACAAAATGGAATGAAACAAATTTGACACCAGTATTCAAAAAAGGAAGCAGAACAAACCCATCAAACTAGAGACCCATTGCTCTCGCGTCTGTAGCTTGTAAAATTATGGAAAGAATAATAAAAAAAGTAATCATAAAACATCTCATTGACAATAAATTGCTCTTCAACCAACAGCACGGTTTTGTTAGAAATAAATCTTGCCTGACAAACTTATTAGAAACATTGGACATCATAACTGAATCTCTTAACTTCGGTGCCTCAGTTGATACAGTATTCCTCGATCTCGCTAAAACCTTTGATTTAGTACCAAATGACACTCTTAGGGGCTGTCCATTAATTACGTCAACAATTTTTTGACAATTTTTTCCCTCCTACCCTCCCCCTTGTCAACAACTTGTCAAACTTTCTGTGACCCCCCTATGAAATTATGTCAACATTTGATAACCCCCCCCCCTGAAAAAAAAAAAAACTAGTTAAAAATTAACTAGTTTACAACTGAAACAAAAAAGTGGTTCATAGTAAAATGTTTAGAAAAAAAAAGTGTATTCAAATTTTAACTTACGAACATATTTCAAATTAATATAATTATTTAAAATTACAAATGCTTGCTCTGAACAAAAAGTGAATTGAAGTTAAAGATATAGAAAAAAAAGAGTAAATTTTTAACTTATAAACATAATTCCAGTTTAAAAATGCAAAGAATTACTCTTAAGAAAAAAAAAGGTTAAAAGACTCACAAAAATGTTTACACGTTTAAATTATAATCATATTTCAAATTAATAAAATTCTCCTTACTTTAACATTAGGCCTAATAAAAATTTACAGTGGAAGCCAATTATTTTTAATAGAGTCTAGAATAAAAAAAAAGCATTTAATAAATTGTATAAACCAGGGATTGGCAACCTTTTGAGACGGAAAAGCCAAAAGTTACAATATACAAAGTTTTAAATTTTTAAAGAGCTACCAACATCTTTATTTTAATATTATATTTAGGGATGCGGAGTCACGAAAAAATTTCCAGATTTGAATGTCACAAAAAGATTACTTCTTCCTAGTTTTTGGTATCCAGGAGCTTTGATAATATAAAAACGCTTATGGATTACTATTGGTAAAAAAGTTAAGACTTTTAGGTTAGAGGAATAATCTCTTTTTTAACCCGGAGTCGTTAGGTATAATGGCGACTAGGACTCTGGAACTCTGGGCTTAAAAACAACATGCATGTCATTATATTTCATGAGTTTTTTTTATTTAGCAGATCATAAATCAACCAACATGTTCAGAGCTTTTAGACACCAGAGACCAGTAAAAAATAGAGATATAAAACCATAGTCCTTTTGCGACTCCGTATTCCTGATTATACCAATATTTGTGCATGTCAAGATAATAATATTTCGATATCAAAATGCTAAAGAGCTTCATCTTGATATCGAAATAATCACAAGAGGCTTGCGAGCTGCAGGTTGTACCTCTTGTATAAAACAATGTAATGTAGACAATGTATTTACAATGTAAGTTACATGAATCTTTTTTGAATGCACAGCAGACTGAGACAATAATAACTTTGAAAAAATAATAGCGTTTCGAGTCTTGTGTATAGTTATTTAGTTCTGTATGTCGGATTTTTTTAAAGCACAAAACGGTCTTTATAATGTAGGAATATAAATTATAGTATAGGAATTAAAATACTGAAGGTTGAGCGACTATGTAACACAGAACTGCAAACCCTCTTACATTTTCTTTAACATGGAATCCTTACATGAAAATCTTGAAAGAATACAAAGATGAGCTACTAAGCTAGTGCCTGCTTTGTGTAAGCTAAACTATGAATGGAGACTCAAATTTCTTGGTTTAACTACCTTAAAGAACCAAGAATTAGAGGAATGTTAATTGATTATTTTAAAACCTACAACAGCATCATAAAAGTAAATTGGCAAGTCCCAATAAATCAGCCGTACTGGCATCAGCTCTAAGGTCTTGCAGGAGCAATTAGAAATAATCAACACCCCATCATCAAGCAAACTAATATAAACATTAGCCAAAGAGAATTCTTCTTTACTAATAGAATCGTTTCACGCTAGAATCAACTTCCCAGAGAAGTTGTTGAGGCTGATAATGTTTTCCAATTTAAAAACAGACTTGATAAACATTTTTCTAATAAGTGACAGATTATTGCAAATCAATTAGACTGCCATAGTCTACAAATTAATTGTTAGATTCACAGAATACTTCTGTAGCAATTGTACCTATAATAAATAAATAAATGTTGTTAAACATTCAAAATATTTTATTTTTATTATGATTTTATTTACTAATAGGCTTATTTAATTATTGCCTATCTATTGAAAATTGTTGTTTGTCTAAATTTTGTTTCAAAAAAGAAGAAAAATAATTTATTTTTATTGTTAATTTAAGTCTTTATTTTTAGTTTTAATAATACTTAATGCCATATTATTTTGAAGTTTAATTGGATTGAATTCAAACTCACCTGTACTCAAGCCCTCAAACATATACATACATAGAAGCAATATATATTAATTTTTTTCTACAAAATATATATTAATTAAGTTCCTACAAAAGTTTTTTAAATTTTTGTAAAATTTGAAGTAGAAATTAAAAAATGTTTACTGAAAAACATCACTAACCTTCAGCTAACACAAGTAACGATGTTCCAAAGATAAAAACCAATACTAAAAAAAAATTTATTAAATTTTATTTTATTGAAGTTATAATTGAATATATATAACTAATTTTTGATTTTATTTCCATATAATTATTTTTTGAGTTCACTTAATTTTACAGTTTTTTAGGAGAAGCTTATTTTGATGCTTGCATTTAGAAATTAATTCTGATTTTTTGTTTAAAAAACGTTCTTGGTTTGCATGTGTAACTATTTTAAATTTTTTTAGTAAGCATAACATGCATTTTTTAGAAATATTATTATATGCAAGTACTGTTTTAAGGATGGTATAAATTAATATATAAATATTATATTGATAAATTATATATATATAAATATATATAAATATATATATATACATATATATGTATATATACATATATATATATATATATATATATATACATATATGTATATATATATATATATATATATATATATATATATATATATATATATATGTATATGTATACATATATATAAATATACATATATATGTATATATATACATATATATATATACATATATGTATATATATGCATATATATATGTATATGTATACATATATATATATATATATATATATATATATATATATATATATATATATATATATATATATATATATATATATATATATGTATATATACATATATACATATGTATATATATATATACATATATATATGTATAAATATACATATATATATATATAAATATACATATATATATATGTATATATATACACACACACACAGATATATATATATATATATATATATATATATATATATATATATATATATATATATATATATATATATATATATATATATATATATATATATATTAGGGTGTCCCAGCCACTTATATTCTAAAAAAGATCTGTTCATACTCTTAAAACTTTCTATTGGTTCTCACAAGCAACTCTGTTAAATTTTTTTTAAATTTTATAGGATTTAGGGGAAGCACAAGACCCTTGAACACTTACCGGGTCCCTAATAATATTTAAAAAAAATTTTCTCAAAAGTATGTCATGTTGGGTCTCAAAAGAAGCGAAATTATATAAAAATTTTAAAAATAACAATTATTTAAATAAAAAAATTATCATTTAATTTTTTTTTTTGGAATAATTATCGGAAAAATACACTTTTTTTATTTTTAGGTTAAGAAAGGTCATTTTTCTGCAAAAAAAACTCTAAAATAATTATTTTATAAAATGATTGTTATTTTTAAAACTTTTATAGAATTTTGCTTCTTGACATGAGATACTTTTGAGAAAAAAATTTTTTAATATTATTAGGGACCCGGTAAGTGTTCAAGGGTCTTGTGCTCCCCTTAAATCCAATAAAATTTAGAAAAAATTTAACAGAGTTAATTGTGAGAACCAATAAAAAGTTTTAAGAATATGAACAAATCTTTTTTAGAATATAAGGGGCGGCTGGGACACCCTAATATATATATATATATATATATATATATATATATATATATATATATATATATATATATATATATATATATATATACATATATATATATATATATATATATATATATATATATATATATATATATATATATATATATATATATATATATATATATATATATATATATATATATATATATAATATGTTTTTTGAATTGAATATTTAAAAAATTTTTAAATTTGCAATTTGTCTCAAAACGTGACATTTTAAAACTCCAATCCTTTTATTTAAATTTGAAGCAACCATATATGTTTTTTGAAAAACATGTGGTGATCACAAATTTTTCTTTGAGAAAGACCCAGCTTTAATGCACACAGTATAATTGAAGATTAAAGACCTTAACAAGGTATCTTTGAACTATGTGGGAACTAACATTTGCACTAAAAGTCAGCTCAGTAAGTATTTATAAATTTCAAATCTGTATGCCTTTCACAGCATTATATATTTTGTGGATATCACAAATTTTGTGATGGGTGGCTAAAAATATCCCTTTGATGCAATTAAGATTTTATCGACAGTGCTAGTTTGTTTTTTTTATTCAAGAATTCTATAAAAAGATCTAAAATAATAATAAAACTATATTTTTAAAGTCACAGTATCAAAGTTTGTTTTCCACATTTTTTATTATTAATTAGAACATAAGAAAATTGTAAAAGAGTTTAAACGTATTTAATAAAATATTTCCTTAATAAAAACTAAAGTTTTATTGTTTAAACAAAAATACTATTTTGTTTTTATTTTTTTACAAATTTTATTTAAGGATTTAGAGATAAAGTAATAGAACTTAATTTGCCACAAAAAAAAATATTTTGAAAGGTCTTGTTAAGAAGCGTTACGAAGCTCGCATTTTTCGTAAACGTTGAAAGCATTAAATTAGGCGAAATCTTTTTGGTTGGAATACTTAAATTATCTTTAAATATCATTTATGTGATGTTAATTCAAAAAATATTAAGTCGTAAAGAAAAGTATTTAACTGCAACTGAAAAAAAATACTAAACCTCCAAGATATGTTGTGTTCATATTGAAGAGAATGATAAAAAAAATGTTCTGGCTAAATCTTTTTTTGATTAAAACAAAAGGATAAATGCATACTAAGAAAAAGTAACTTTATTGTTTTAGTTAAAGCTCACCTTTTGATTTGAAGCACTCCATTTTGATGTAGGCCAAATAGTCTTCATAATAAATGCCGCAATCTACAGACTTTATACTTTAACAGACAGATAATTTTTTCAAGTGCGTTTTATTTATGAGTTTTAAAAAATCTCTGTTTAAAAAATCAATCTTTTAAAATTATTTAAAATAAGATACTGTAAAATACTTCAAAATATCAATAGTTTTGAAGTTTCTGTAACAAATAAGATCATAACAATTCACATCTTTGTAGCCAATATAAATAATTATCAAAAACAGTTTCATTTGAAATTTCCATATCAAGATGAAAGTTTGAATTAATAAATGTGGATAAAGCTAAAAAGAACCCAAAAATTTTATAAAGATATATGAATTTATAACAACTTATAAAAGACTCTATAAAAGCTCTGACTCTATAAAGACTACCAAGTGGCAAAATAACTCAAGATCCAGAAGAGATACTGATATACTGAATACAAATTTTCAAAATGTTTTTGTCAATGAAAATAAAAAGTACACTCCATTTTTCAAAACAAGAACCAATGAAGCCACCTTTAATTTAACTCCTGCAGATATTTATTATGATGTTCTTTAAACAATTTTGATTGAAAGCATTTGCTCTTTCTCTCACACTTATTTTTTATGGAGCAAATTAAAAAAAGCCAGCTACCAAATCAATTTAACTCAGTAAATATAACTGCACTATACAAAAAAGGTGACAAGGCTGATTCTGTAAATTATAGACCAATATCACTTCCTTGCATTACTTTTATAATACTTTAAGTGGTAAAAGAAAACAAATTTAAAAAATATCTTTATAAAAATAATATTATAGCTAATCATTAGCATGGGTTCGTTAAAAGCAGGTCATGTACAATGATCTTGAAACCCTGAATTATATTACAAGAAATGTTGATCAAAGAAATCCTGTTGATGTAATATTACTTAATTTTGCAAAAGCATTTGATATGGCTCCACATCAAAGGCTTATCTTAAAACTTAAAGCATATGGTGTTAGTGGTTTAGCACTTCATTGGTTTCTTATCAAATAGAAGGCAGAGAGCTATCATGGGAAATTATTTTTCAACTTGGGCTGAGGAGTAGAGTGGAGTTTCTCAAGGCTCTGTATTGGGTCCACTACTTTTTATACTTTACATAAATAATTCTTCTAAATCTCTGAAAAATATTTCATAACTGTATGTTGATGACACAAAAATCATTTCAATTAGTTCAACATTAAACTCTGCATCTACTTAAATACAAGATTGGTTGTTTAGTTTTAATATTGACAAATGTTTAGTTATGCACTATGGGCATAAAAATAAGAGATTTCCCATTTATATAAATGGTTGTAAACTCAATACATCAGATTTAGAAAGGGACCTAGGAGTAATTTTTTCATATAGCTTGAAGTGGAAAAATCAAGTACTATCGAGTGCAAGCAAAGTTTATGTTGTGCATAATAAAGAAATCTTTTATTAGATTTGATGAAGAACTGGTAAAATCTTTCATTTATTTGTCCACTTAATGAGTTAGCTGTAGCAGAATGGTCTCTTTATCAAAAACAAGATGCTATTTTAGAAAGTGTACAATGCTATGCTCTAAAATAATACCATTAATCAGTAAATTATGCTATTAAGATCAACTTACTTGTCTTCAAGAATGCCCTTGTAAAACAAGACAACGGAGCAACATATACAACTGCATAATATTTTCAAAGGTTAAAATAAAGTTGAATTTAAAAAAAATTATTCATTCAAATCAAATTGTATTTGTGACCATAGCTTAAAATATTCTAAAGAATTTTCTATAAATAAATACAGAGAAAATATTTTACTAAATCGAGCTGCATATTATCGGAAAGAATTTGCAAAAAATTTTATTTAAGCAACTTCAGTGAAATCATTCAAAGCAAGACTTGATCAATGGGAATCAAACCACAAAAATCAGCTATCATAGTGTATTTAAAACCATACTTACTGGTAGCAATACCAGTCACAGCATAAACTAATACTAATACTAAAATTAAGATTTATATAATACTAAAAAAAGGATTTTTATTTAAAAGAATTTTACACTAATTCTTAATGAATATTCTGCATAAGATTCTTTTAGTGTATGTATACTTATCCACACATTAAAAAGATCTCATACATAATTATTTATTTTTGAGTGGAGCTATCAATGATAACATGATATTAAGATGAGCTATTAAATTATATCAATATATATATCAATATATATATATATATATATATATATATATATATATATATATATATATATATATATATATATATATATATATATATATATATATATATATATATATACATATACATATACATATATATATATATATATATATATATATATATAATATATATATATATATATATATATATATATATATATATATATATATTAGGGCTGTACCGGATTTAATTTTTTCAAATCCGGCCGAAGCCGGATTTGCCGGATTTCTACTGACAGATCTGGCCGGAATCGGAGCCGGAGCCGGATTTCAAAACAAAACTACAGGAGCCAAAATCCTGTACATCTCTACTTGGTGTTGAGCATGGTCAACAATGTGGACTATTCAGAATACCAAGTGACTGCTGTTTTCTGTTAAACTTCATTGTTGTTATTTAAAAAGTTTTATAGCAATTTCTATATATAAATTAATAGAAATTCTAAAGAAGTTCTATAGGCCATATGTTTTTAAAGTTTATAGTAATTCTATTGAACTTTTTTTCCGGGATTTTGTCACTCCGCCACTGTAGTGGATCATTGTCTATTTATTTCTGGTTCTTTCGGATATTTCCTTAGCTGAGTTTCAATGCCTTTAAGTAATTGTTGTTTATGTGCCCTGCCACCAGCAGACGTAGACTGAATAATTTTATCAATAAATTGCCAGAGTAATGATGATGATGATGTAGAAAAATTATTAAGCCCGGCTTATTTTGGTGGATTTTCTTCAGTTTTGTCAATCTTCTGTTCAGCATGCTCAGATTGACTTCAATCTTGTTTTTTCAGCTGTCAGTGTTGCCTGTAATGAGGAGAATTTAGTTTTAAATTGTGAGTCAACCAGCCTCGTCAGTATATAAAGAGGTTTCTCTTTTCAATGCTTTTAAAACGCTCATCCAATCACTTGATTAGGGTTGACATCATAGTCTTTTTACCTGCATCATTGTAGAATATCGTGTGTCTTCCCTTCAGAATTTTTTGTTGCGTTGTTGTTTGAAATTAGACTAAGCTTATTAAATTATAAAGAAAAATAAATACAAATACCAAAACAAATATGAGGTTTATAAAATATAGAATTACAAAAAAAATTGATTTTTATAAATAAAATATTAAGTATACATGTAAACACGGGCAAAAAAAATGTAATAAATATTTGACAAAATTCAAAACTCCGGCTAAAATTATGCCGGATTTGCTAAATTTTTGCCGGAGCCGGATTTGTAAAAATGGCCGGATTTTGGCCGGAGCAGGAGCCGGAGCCGAAATCCAGTACAGCCCTAATATATATATATATATATATATATAGACATATATATATATAGACATATAGACATATATATATATATATATATATATATATATATATATATATATATATATATATATATATATATATATATATATATATATATATATATATATGTATATATATATATATATATATTATATATATATATATATATATATATATATATATATATATATATATATATATGTATATATATATATATTATATATATATATATATATATATATATATATATATATATATATATATATATATATATATATATATGTATATGTATGTATGTATGTGTGTGTGTGTGTGTGTGTGTGGTGTGTGTGTGTGTGTGTGTGTGTGTGTGTGTGTGTGTGTGTGTGTGTGTGTGTGTGTGTGTGTGTATTTATAAACTTACTTTATATATATATAAAATAAATTTTTTTTTATAATGACATTTCAACTTTTATTTTAATTCATAAAGTGTACCTTTTGTATCCTAAAAAAGTAGAAAATGGACTCAATAATATTCCGATTCTGATCTTTTTAATTGTGAAGTAATTTGCATAGGTTTCGAAAGAAAAATAAATGTCTAAATGTTTGAAACCAGTATGTATACTATTCCTGGCAATACCTGTTTTAACTAATATACTTTCAATTCAAAAATTATATTTTTATTGCTATGTTTAAACTGTTGGAAATAGATGGTCTGATGTTGTATGATTGCATGATTTTAAATTATCAATTGTCTCAAGTGTAAAGGATATCAAAGTGATTTGCAACTTATGTGCTAGGCAAAATACAAAATGAAAAGTTTTAATCTAATTTTATCATCTAGTTTATAAAACTGAAAAACTAGACAGCGTTACTGTTTCATTACCAATTAGAACTGTCACATTGTGTATAGGCACAATGTGACAGTTCTAATTGATAATGAAACAGTAAACACTCTAAAAAATGTGACAGAAACATTGGCTATTGCAAATCGAAAGTTTCTTGCAGAAACACTAGACCATCTCAAAAAAAACCATAACAATTCAATATTGTATATAAACATAATACAAGAAAAATTTCTGAAATTTGCAGAGCTTCAAAGCCAAACTTCTTGGTTGTTTGTTGATTTAAAACATGTTCACTTAGAGAAATTAAAATATTAAAGGTTATGAAATATTATAATTAAGTTAAAGTTTAGTTATATGGAAAAATGGAAATATTTAATTTTATGTGTGTTACATCCCATATGTTTATATCAATGATCTAAACATATAATAAACTGAAACAAGCATGCATAGCTCAGTTGCCTTTTTTTTGTTAAAATTCTAAAGACTTACTTATGCTAAATATTTTCTGAATAGACAAAATAAGACATTATTTGATCTTTTTTTTTTAATTTTATTTTTCTTTGAAATTAAAAACAAAACATTTTTATTAACGTTGTGTTCTCAATTGGTTTTCGCATGGTTTATACAAACTTAATATAAAGTGATGGAACACAGACATCATGAAATCATCTGTGGTAAATAGATGAGGTTGAGCTACTTTCATATAATATTTTGTTCGAATTTATTTTATTAAAAGAGGGGGGGGGGGGAGGCTTTATTATCCCATCACACACTTAGTACGTTGTAGCTGTAAATTACAATGTATTACCATCTACCTTAAAAAAAATAAGTGCTCTAAAAGGTTACAAGCTAACGTAATTTATGAGTTGATGAGTTTACAACAGAAAAACCACAGATGTCCAAAATGAGTGTCTTGTTTTCAAAAGAATATTGTGAATAAATAATACTTGTATTTAGCAAAAAAACTGCGTTTTTATATTGTATAAGGACTAAAATGTCAGAAAAATATACTTTTAATTAAATAACTTATTAATAAACAGATATCTAATGTCACTAAACACTAAATTTCATTTTTCTCAAAATGAGAAAAATGTGACATCTGTGGTTTTACCCATGTAGTCTACATATATAAATATATATATATATATATATATATATATATATATATATATATATATATATATATATATATATATATATATATATATATATATATTGGTCCAAAAAACGTCATTTTTGAAAAAAATCTGCTCCACCACCTTAAATTTGTTCTATATAATACAAAAACACTAGGTTTACAATTTTTTTGAATAAAAAATACTATTATATATATATATATATATATATATATATATATATATATATATATATATATATATATATATATATATATATAATATAATATATATATATATATATATTGGTCCAAAAAAACGTCATTTTTGAAAAAAATCTGCTCCACCACCTTAAATTTGTTCTATATAATACAAAAACACTAGGTTTACAATTTTTTTGAATAAAAAATACTTTTAGTGGTAGCCCCTGACCCTTAAACATTTGATAGGTCCCTAACATTTTTAAAAAAAAAGTTCTTCTAAAATATGTCAACCTGGTACTCAAAAGAAGTGAAATTATATTAAAAACTCAAAAATATTAATTAATTTACATAAAATAGATGCTAAAAAAATATTAACAAAAAACATGGAAATTATGACTTTTTTTATTTTCAGCTTAAAAACAAGAGTTTTAAATGCAATGATGTATGAAAAAATTATTTTTATATGAAAATTATTATTATTTTTGAATTTTTCAATATAATTTTGCTTTTTTTGAGTACCAGGTTGATATATTTTAGAACTTTTTTTTCAAAATATTAGGGACCCGTCAAATGTTTAAGGGTCAGAGGTTACCCTGAAAAACATTTTTTATTCAAAAAAATTGTAAACCTAGTGTTTTTGTATTATATAAAACACATTTAGCTTGTGGAGCAGATTTTTTTCAAAAATGTTGTTTTTTGGACCACCATAAAATATATATATATATATATATATATATATATATATATATATATATATATATATATATATATATATATATATATATATATATATATATATATATATATATATATATATATATATATATATATATATATATATATATATGTTATCAGTTTTTGCATATATATATAAATATATATACAATTATATATATATATATATATATATATATATATATATATATATATATATATATATATATATATATATATATATATATATATATATATATATATATATATTATATATATATATATATATATATATATATATTATATATATATATATATATATATTATATATATATATATATATTATATATATATATATATATAAATATATATATATATATATATATATATATATATATATATATATATATATATATATATATATATATATATATATATATATATATATAATATATTATAAACTATTAAAAACAAACAAATTTAACTTACAAAACACATAACTTGAACTCATTTTAGGTTATATACATTGTAATGTTCTTTAATTTTGATGCAACTAAAAAAAAGTTTTAAACTTATTTTATTAGTTATAAACACATTCACAAATACATATATAATGATACTCACTATAAATAAGGGGTAATATGTTCAAAAGCTATGCAGTCACATCAAATATATACACAGTGTAACAAAATACCCTTGCATTTCAACAAACAGTAATAATAAGTGTTACAATATGATTTTAAATATGATGTATTACATACATTTTCACTTGTTACTTTAAAAAAAGTAACAATATATTTAATAATTATTATTTGAATATTTTTTTTAATTTTATTCATTTACTTTTGTCATGAGTAATCTGAATAAAAATGAAAAAAATATTTAAAGACGCTAAGCAAATTTACTAAATACATAAATACATACATACATACATACATACATACATACATACATACATACATACATACATACATACATACATACATACATACATACATACATACATACATACATACATACATACATACATACATACATACATACATAAAGATATATATATATATATATATATATATATATATATATATATATATATATATATATATATATATATATATATATATATATTTATATATATATATATAATTTGTTGTTGCAATTGTTTAACTTTGTAAGTATTTAATTTATATTACTTCATACACTTGTATTGATTTATATTAATTTATGAAGAATTACCAATAATTTTTTTTTCCCACAATAAAATTCTTTTATCTATTTTGATGTGTCTTCAGTAACTATAATTAAAAAATTCACAATATGTAATCACTCTATTTGCATCATAAATCACTATTTTTTCACACACGAAAAATAATAATCTTCTTTGGTGCAATGGCATGCTAAATAATAATTTACAACAAACTTAACATTTAATTATGTGGTTAACACAGTCAACTCTTTTAATAACAATATAGAATGAAAGAATCCTTTTATAAATATTGATTTAAGAAAATAAAGATTTTTTTTATTGTAATAAGCTCAAACGCAGTTGAAAACAAACACACGTTTGAAAAATTTTAAATCTTACAATTTTTTCACTATTATATAACAATAATAATTTATATATTTATAGTTGATAGCTCTTAGTTCTTGACCAAGTCAGATCTGCGAAAAAATCTTATTTTGTTTTTAATAATCGGACAATTTACAATCTACTAATTTCAATAATTAAGACATTGCAATTTTAAAACTTTATATACGTTGTAAAAGAAAAAAAAATTATAAAAATTTAACTTATAAAGAAATACTGCCCAGCACTTGGCTTGGCCGAGATTATTTCCAGCGTGAGACAAAAGTCTGGTTTTTAATAAATAAAACATTTAGTTAATTGTTTCTAATGGCGTTGTTTGAGTGCTTGTCTGGTGCATTTTGGAGGCTTTATTAAAATTCATGAGTGTTACGAGCGTAAAGTAGAATAAAAGACAAGAAAAACTGTCTCATCTGCTGTGTAACATAGAGTAAATTATTTTTCATGTAAACATATAAAGGTTTTGTATCGTTAAAAAATATTAATTCAATTAAACCTCGAGTTTGTCGGAAGTTATGCAAACGAGCGTTAAAATCGACTTGTTAACACGATACACGATACTTTTATGAGTAATTATCTATTTATTGATCGTTAACTTTTGTTTAAGATCTAACTTTACAAATTTGAATGGACTGTATCAGACTGATTACATTTAAAAGAATAAAGCGATTTTTAGAGAGATAAAAAAAATATGGAGTTTCTTTTTTCAATTATTATTGTGAAAAAAAAAAGACCTGAACATATTTGATTTCTCTTCCAGATTTCGGATAACACACAATTTTGTTATTGTTGGCGTAATGAAACAAATTATTTTTATAGTGATTTTAGAATATATTTAAAGTGTGTTTCAATGTCTTATTACTGTTTTTTGACTTTGCTTAATTAAATTCTAAAAAATTTTGCACGTGTATGTTTTTTATATTAAATATAGTATTCTGAATCGAAGAAAGAGTTAATATAAGTATTGATAGCTCATCTTAATATCATATTATCATTGATAGGTCATCCTATGTTATCAGTTTTTGCATCTACAGTTTAGTTTTCTACATTTTGGTTTAAATGACCATAGAAAGTTAAATCATGAAAACTTATGTTGTCTGTGGGTCTACAAAATCGTTTCACAAAAGCTTATGATACAACCAAGTAGACACCCGACGTTTAATTGATGTTATTTTCCTATCATATATCATTTAATGTCAAAACAATCTTGAGTTGAAGTCGGATGTCCATAGGGAAATATATTATTTATATTAACGATGACACATTTTAAAATAAATACGATAGGCAAAAACTTTTTTGAACAAATATATACATATATATATATATATATATATATATATATATATATATATATATATATATATATATATATATATATATATATATATATATATATATATGTGTGTGTGTGTGTGTGTGTGTGTGTGTGTGTGTGTGTGTGTGTGTGTGCCGTTTTCTAATTGTCAAGAATTAAAAGATCGAATTTAACCTGAATTGTATTCTAAACAAAATAGTTTCTTTTCATCCTATTAACATCAGTAAATTGTTGTTTTAAATAAAATATAATATTCAATACACTTTGTATTGAAATGGTAGCAATAAAAGCTAATCTCTTTAGTTGAAGAGTACTGCTGATACTAAATATTTAGGATTAATGAATTGACTTTAGCTCATCACGCTTGTCCTTCGCATGATAATTATTTTGGAAGTTGTTTATAATTTCTATTTGCATATTATCTTTTTTTGAGATTCTATTGAAACGTTATATAAGTTAGTTTTAAAAGTTTTGATTAATGATCTGTTTTGATTTTTCTTTCTATATATTTGTTTTTACTCATTATTTGACAAAAAAAAAAGGAGGGGGAGAACGGACATGCAAAATCAAATGTAAACAAAGTTGACTTTCTTGTGACTGAGCACTTGACAGGGAAGGATCAAGCATTTTTTAGTGTTTGAGATTTCAAATGCTAAAAAAATTATGACCACATAAAATTTGTAACTCAAATTTAGGGGGAGGGTATAGGGTAAACTTTTTTCGATCATAATTTTTAAACGTTAGGCGGTTATTTTATTAAAAAAAATAAATAATTATTTAGTAAAAAATAGTAAATAAAATATTTTTCCAACATATTGCTCGTTTTGGACAGGGTAAAAATTTTAGGACTTTTTGGTCCCCATGCTCCTATCGTTGGATTTTTTTGCAAAGCATTCTTATTTGACATGAGTATAAACAAATTAGTGTTCTGAGTTTGCTCTCATTTTTATTAATATCATTGTCGACGATATTGAATTCTTCTCAATCATGTTTTTTCTCATAAAGCATATCACAAAGCGTATCCAAAATGTAGACCATGACTAAGAAAAAATTGACCGATGACTAAGAAAAAATTGACCGAAAAATTGCACGGTGGTTCAGAAATGTCACTTTGGAGGCAAAAAATATTTCTTTTTTAATTTTGAAGCTAACAATTTTTAGTGAATACTCATTATGCCCAGGCCTATTATAGTTATTATTGACAGACAAATGACACAAATTCCAAGGACAAATTACAGAACAAATAATAGATATGTTACTCATGTTTTGTTCTTAATTTTAAATGTTCTATTAGTTAAACACAGTTGCCAGCATGTATGGTACATTTTTTTCAATTGGATAATGATCATACATGTGTAGAACACCAAGAACATATAGCATAGCAAAACATATGACACAATTATTTTTTATATTATTATTATAACAGACCAATTATTTAAAGCAATTTAATAGTATCTAGAATTCTCAGCACATTTAAGAACTTTAGTGTAAAGTATTAAAATAACACACCAAGGACCATGATTTAACATAAGACATTTTTCGCATGTATATCTATATATTTTTAGATCTATATTTAACTTCCTGATTGAGTAACTAAGAAAATCATCAAGAAGATCAGATAAAAGACACATATATACACATAATTTATTAATATATATGTGTCTTTTATCTGGTCTCCTTAATGATTGATGCGCCAAAAAAAAAATCATATCTAAGTATTTATGTCATAAATACTTAGATACTTTTTCAGACATAACTTTTTTTTGGCGCATATGCTTGCGCAGCAAGAACATACAACAACATATAATGTATGTAATATAGTTTTCAAGGTTTTAAAGAACAATCAATATTTATATAAAAAAATTATACTAAATAAAACTTTTTAAACAATATAATTATAAAGGGCTCAAGTAATAGAAAAATAGTAATTGAAAAAAGTACATTTTTTTCAATTTTCATTTTTATATATATTAAGCATGTGGGTTTTTACAAATTTCTCCAAATTAAGTAATCTATTTAGGAACCATATCATCAATACAGCAATCAGTTAGATTGAAGAGTATAACTTTATTAGGAAATTTACAATAGATGGTCAAACATTCTTCTGAAAGAGTAAGCTCCTTATTTGATTCTGAACTTTGCCTCATAGAAGTAATAAAAGGGTCTGATAAGCAGAGCCATCTTCTCATAACATCCTCATATGTATATTTCCGAGAAAAATTTCTTGTAAAGTGTTCTTGAAAAACTTTGACATCTTTATTTCTAATCTTTGGAGCTTCTTTTATTTTTATACTTACTTTTATCTTAAAACTTGGTATAAAATAAAAAATTACCTTGTGATTATTAGCAGGCATTGGATACCTTTTAAAATGTAAAACATGTCTTAAATGTATCTTTACTTCAAGTTTGACTAGATCAATTGGATGCCTACAAGACAACACAGAAAGATTAATGCAGAATCTTTTAACAAAATCTTTATCTTATTGGATTTTTTATTTTTTTCTAAATTTCTCTTCGTCTACACGCTACTAATTCTTTCTTTGCAGCTGTGTTTGCATGAAAAACTTAGAATTATTATATCTTGGTCTTCTTCTTTATCCAATATGTATGAGACATTCAAAATAACGTATTCATGGAAACCGTTGATTCCCAAGTCCAAAGACATCTGATTAGGCTGTCTACTGTAAACAATTTCAAAATCATTCATTTTTTTTAAGTTTTAATCAAAAAATATTGCAAACTTTATAGAAATCATTTAATTGAGAAAGAAGAGTGGAAAATTTGCCACCAAACATAGCACTCTCGGGTGCTTAATACAAGGTGGAGGGGTGGAGATAGAAGGGGGGGAATTTACTCCAGACCTAATTAACGTGTTAATGAAAAGCTGGGTAGGAATTTTTTACTAAACATGAATAAGATTTTGTGTGGCTTGAGGTCAAATGCGCATTTTTAGACAGCTGTTTCATCATAATTTTTTTCATCATAATTTCAATATGAGATAACATGCTTATATTAATTTCAATATGAGATAACATGCTTATATTAATTTCAATATGAGATAACATGCTTATATTAATTTCAATATGAGATAACATGCTTATATTAATTTCAATATGAGATAACATGCTTATATTAATTTCAATATGAGATAACATGCTTATATTAATTTCAATATGAGATAACATGCTTATATTAATTTCAATATGAGATAACATGCTTATATTAATTTCAATATGAGATAACATGCTTATATTAATTTCAATATGAGATAACATGCTTATATTAATTTCAATATGAGATAACATGCTTATATTAATTTCAATATGAGATAACATGCTTATATTAATTTTAATATGAGATAACATGCTTATATTAATATGAGATAACATGCTTATATTAATATGAGATAACATGCTTATATTAATTTTAATATGAGATAACATGCTTATATTAATTTTATACTATGATGAGAAATAAAAAAAATCTAATTTTTAACAAATCGACGATTTTTAAAGTCTTATT